AAAAAATGTAGGCCTTCTCTGAAGGCATAGAAGGCCATGAAGGTCCCCCACTGATTTTCACTGTACCTCTGTCTTTGTCAAGTTTTTCCTCCTCTTCTTTTCTTTTATTCCTTCCCTGGGCACCAGAAAGTTTTTTTCTTGTATTATTATTACAATATTCTCGTAATATTACGACTTTATCCTCATAATTTCCCCAAAAATATTTTTTTCTTAGTCTGGCCCTAATACTCCGGCGTATTACTGTACCTCTGCCTTTGTTGCGTTTTTACTCCTCTTCTTTTCTTTTTTTCCTTCCCTGGGCACCGGAACATTTTGGTCTTTTTGACATTGTTAATGGTTTCTGGGGTCACGTCAGAAAACTCAACCATCTCTCAGAGAGCAGGTAGAGTCTAATCAGTCAGAGGAGGAGGGGGGGCGGGGGGCTTAATAAAGTCTTATTATTATTTAATAGGCTTTGCTATGCAGTTAAATTAATGTGGGCTTATTTTTTTCGTACTAAGAAATAATAGCACTACGTCGGAGTATTAGGGCCAGACTAAGAAAAAAAATTATTTAATTTTTTTGGAAATTACAAGAATAAAGTTGTAATGTTACGAGAATAAAGTCGTAATATTACGAGAATAATGTAATAATAATACAAGAAAAAAATGAGAAATGAGCTTCGATAGAGTTATCAAGATCTGACCAGCTCAATCAAACAGCAGCCTCAGTCTGAGCCCAGCAGCCGCTGTTTGTCTCAGTCGTACCGTAGCTACAGTCAACAGGTAAGCTAACGTATTTATCATTTCGTCGTTAAACAGTTTTGCTGGCTGAGTGAAAAGGCTGACATTTCTCATAAAATTACTACTTTCTTTATATTATGACTTTTTTCTCACAATATTACAACCATATTCTCGTAATGTTACAACTTTATTCCCGAAATATTACGACTTTATTCTCGTAATATTGTCACTTTATTCTCGTAATATTGTGACTTTATTCTCGTAATTTCCCCCCCCCAAATTTTTTTTTTCTCTTAGTATGGCCCTAATACTAACACTAATAGTATAGCACCAACTAGTTTGAGTATAAAAATATTGAACGTTTTTTTTTTCTTCCCCCATTGTGGTGCCCCCTAGATGGACGGCGCCCTTAGCATTTGCCTATACTGCCTATGCCACGGGCTGGCACTGGTCCGAACCCAGTCCCTACCTTGTCGTACCTTGTTGTATGTCGTATATACATTTTCTATTTTGAAATAATTGTATCAATAAATTGTTAGTGACGTTGAATATACAGAGTAACTGGAGATCATTCACAGTGATCCTGTCCCTAGATGAATGTTGGTTTTAATGTGGTTTATTTCGCTATTATTGATATG